GTACATTACATCTCCAGAATTTATTTATCCTATAACTAGAAGTTTGTACCTTTTGACCACCTTCACCTATTTCCCCCACCTTACAACCCCACCTCTGTCAACCACCAGTCTGTTCTCTGTTTCTACAAGTTTGGTTTCTTTAGATTCCACATATGAGTGAGATCATGACAGTATTTGTATTTTTTTGACTTATTTCACTTAGCATAATGCCTTTAAATCCATCCATGTTGTTGTATATGGCAAGATTTCCTTCTTTCTCATGGCTAAATAATATTAGATTGTGTGTATATGTGTGTGTGTATAAATATACATATGTATATACACACACCAAGTCTTCTCTCTACATTCATCCATTGATGGACATTTAGGTTGTTTCCTATCTCGCCTGGCTATTGTGAATAATGCTGCAGTAAACCATGGGAATGCAGGTATCTCTTTGATATCCTGTTTTCATTTCCTTTGGATATATACCCAGAAGTGGAATTGTTAGATCGTATGGTAGTTCCATTTTAATTTTTGGAGGAACATCCATACCGTTTTCCATAGTGGCTGCACCAATTTATATTCCCACCCACACTGCACCAAGGTTCACTTTTCTCCGCATCCTCACCAACACTTGTTATTTCTTGTCTTTTTTTCATAATAGCCATTCTGACGGGTGTGAGGTGATAGCTCATTGTGGTTTTGATTTGCATTTGCCTGATGATTAGTGATGTTGAGCACCTTTTCATCTACCTGTTTTTATGTCTACTTTGGGAAAATGTCTATTCAGTTCCTTTGCCCATTTTTTAATTGGATTTTTTTTTTTTTTGCTGTGGAGTTGTATATTTTGGATATTATATACATATTGTGTATTTTGGATATTATATCTTGGATATTATATCTGTATATATTTTGGATATTAACCCCTTATCAGATCTTTGTTTTGCAAATATTTTCTCCCATTCTATAGGCTGCCTTTTCATTTTGCTGATGGTTTCCTTTGCTGTTCAGAAGCCTTTTAATTTAGTTTGCTTTTATTGCCTTTGTCTTTTGTGTCAAATCCGAAAAATCATTGCTAACACTTATGTCTAGGAGCTTACTCCTTATATTTTATTCTAGGAGTTTTATGTTTCAGATCTTACATTCAAGTCTTTAATCCAATTTGAATTGATTTTTGTGTATGGTATAAGATAGGGGTCCAGTTTCATTCTTTTGCGTGTGGCTGTTCAGTTTTCCCAGCACCATCTATTGAAGAGACTATCCTTTCTCCATTGTATACTCTTGGGTTCCTTTGTCATAAATTAATTGAGCATATATGCGTAGGTTTATTTCTGAGTTCTCTTTTCTCTATTGCTCAGGTTTTAAAAGAGTTTTCTTCCTTTTACTATTGTAGGTAACCGCTGATACTGTTGCTATGTTTTATGAATTTAAGATTATTTCTTTAGGCTAGATTCCCAGAAATGAAATTACTGGCCAGTTTTTAAGATTAGGACTATTTTCATGTTCTTGATAGATGTTGGTTAGTTTTTTCCCCAAAAGGCAATGCCAATGTGAACAGCAATTTGCAGTGTTTCTGTTCGCTCCATAATATTGAGGTTCTCATTTTTATTTTTGAAGATAATTGAAGAAAACTGGCTAGTTTTGAGGAAAGTTCACTGAAGTTGATGTGGCACATTTTGAGTTTAAAAGTGCAATTTGCAAGACCATGTTTAAACACCTAGCAGACAACTGAAAAATCAGATTCTGTAACAGGGTAGAGATATGGGACAAAGATACTTGAAGATTTGGGAGTTTATGTATTGAGATTCTAGAAATGCCTGGGAGAGTGAAAAAGAGGGTAAGATTGTAAATGAATTTGTAGTTTAGACATCATGGAACTCTTAGAAGAAGGTTTAAAGAAAAATAAAGCTTGAGGTTTACTGCTTCTCTCTCACATACATACACTTCCCATTTTGTGACTTGGAAGTCTCTGAAGCTGGATGATATAAGCTTAGTAAAGATTATGGAGGAGGCTGCTACAAGGTCTCAGTTGAGAACATACTGCCATTGGGTGTAGGCTGTCTTTTCCAGAAGTTTAAGTTGGAAGCAAGGACTAAGGTTGTTTTAAGTTGAAATTTTATCAGACCAGGACATTGCATATGGCAAGACATTGAATGAAACCTAGTAATTTCAGAATGAGTGACTGGCACTGCTCCCGAGCCACCTTATGTTTTAACAACTCCTAAAGTGAGTTTTATTTGAATTATTTCTGATCGCAAGCTTGAAATTTAGGGCCTTCTTTCTTGGGAGACCACTAACTTGGGACCATTATCCTTTTCCTTACCAAAAATTAGCTTTTATAGATATTGGTTTGATAAACCTTTTAAATCTTAGCCACATGCCTTTTGATTGGGGAGCTCTAAAGTTAATTTCTAAAGTGGTTTGTAACCCTTTAAACAAGGTATATTTCATAGCAGTTTCCTTGTTGTCTGTTTAGGCATTTCCTTCTGAGGATAATGGATGGACCCCCTTCATAGTTCTCATCTCCTAAAGATGCCCACTGCTTCTGAAAGTAGTAGTCTACCTTTAACAGTTTGTTATTCCACTTTGGTTATTTGATCATACCTTCTGTCTTATATAACCACAGAGATGCTTACATTAAAATACACGTTCACTTTTTTTTTTTTTTAAGATTGGCACCTGAGCTAACAACTGTTGCCAATCTTCTCTTTTTTTTTTTCTTCCCCAAATCTCCCCAGTACATAGTTGTATATTTTTTCAGTTGTGGATCCTTCTAGTTGTGGCATGTGGGACGCCACCTCAACATGGCCTAATGAGCGGTGCTGTGTTTGTGCCCAGGATGTGAACTCTGGGCTGCCGAAGCAGAGCGCACGAACTCAGCCACTTGGCCACGGGGCCGGCCCCATACGTGTTCACTTTTATCTTATCTCTTAAAATGTGAGATATACCTTACGTCTTTAGATGTATATACCATTTTCAAAATTATGTTTCGGTAATTGAGTTGATGAATAGAAAAATATTATATCTTTGGTAATAGTTGAATAAATTTTATAAAAACAAATATAAAGGTTAGAGTTCTAAGGAAAGTCTTCACAGTGTACCTTTCCAGGCATTTTCTTTCCCATTCTCTTCTTCCCCACTTCTCAGTATCATTTTTTTCACGAATTTAGTCACATGCCCCTACTTCTCTCTCTCAATCTTCTCATGATATTCTCTCTTCCACAATTGTCCCTCTCACTCCATTTTTTACCAGAAGTCCTATCCATACTTAAATATCATAGCCCTATTTCTCTTCTACTGTGTAACTGCTCGTCACACAGAACCCACCGTTGCCCTCCTCTGCTACCCCAACACTTGGTTCCTATTTTGTCTGTTATACTTATGTCTTTTTGTAGGTGTGTTTATTTCTGTCTTCCTCATGAGACTCTGAGCTTCGTTGTCTTTGTTTCCTTAGCATTGAGCAGAAAGCTTTATTCAAAGTGATTGTTCATTAACTGGGCAAAGGGCTATCCTTTGGGGATACCAAACCTGGATTTATCCAGGAGGAAACTGACATTCTTAGCTATGAAATTGTAGTAACAGTAAAAGTTCAAAAGGAAAAAGGTGGTGCAGGCCCCATGGCTGAGTGGTTAAGTTCGCGCGCTCCGCTTTGGTGGCCCAGGGTTTCGCTGGTTTGGATCCTGGGCATGCACATGGCACCACTCGTCAGGCCATGCTGAAAGCAGCGTCCACTTAGCACAACCAGAGGCACTCACAACTAGAATATACAACTATGTACTAGGAGGCTTTGGGGAGAAGAAGAATAAAGAAAAAAAAAAAAGATTGGCAACAGTTGTTAGCTCAGGTGCCAAGTTTTACCAAAAAAAGGAAAAAGGCCATTGAGTTCAAGTATTTCAAATTGTATTTCTCTCAGTCTTATTGCTGCTATTCCATATGGCCAATGGTGAAGAAATCTTTACCTTTCCAAATACAGAAAGATGTTAAAGTATTGAGCATTCTAAAGCCATCATCTCTTTCTGATAGTTGTGCTATGTATTTAATTGTCAATTTTGGTCTTTGTGTGTAAAGCATGGGAAACCAAGGGCACGGCCACTTGCCAGTAGTCCTTCTGTTGGTATATGTGAGTTAAAAATATTTTTCACTATACCTTAAATTTTCTAATTATAAAAGTGTCGTTTAGGTAAATTCTTGTGATAAGAATTCAGACAGTATAAAGATATACAAAGCAAAAAGTAGAAATCCTTCCTCATAGTCTTAATATTCCATAGTTCTTCACAGAGATCTTCATAATAAAGAGTTTAATTTGAGTATTTTCTATACTTTTTCATTGAGATATAGATCTGAATTTTTAAAAATGTAACTGGGATATAAAGTGTTTGCATATATAGTGACTTTTGTTTCCCATTTAACCTCGTATCTTGGAGAGTCATGTTAGTATCTGTTGATTTTTCTTCTTTTTAACTGCTATATCCATACTCTAGATGTACGTCTTGGTAAAATAGAAAAACCTAGCACACACAAGCAAGGCACTTCATCTAATCAAGGGATAGCCCCTGAGGTGCTCAAACAAAGTAATGCCTGCAGTTTGGGATAGTTAGCACAGAACCTTACCTACCATTGACTTGTTCATGTGAATTCCTGTCCTATGTATTTTTAAAATGTTTAGTTCTTTCAAGGTAAACAAAATTTTCTTCCTATTACTTTGCACATAGTCAGCACTCAGTAAATTTGTCAAATGAATGAATGATCAAAAGACTGGTGAAAGTTAAGTTCTGATTTAAAGAATACAAAGTTCTGGTAACAAATCTCCAGCTATGATGATTTCTATATCTTAGGATGTTTGTTATTGAGTTAACTACCTATTCCGTTCTCTATTGTCAAGGATTCTTTGGCAGTAGCTGTCAGAATTTAATATTCTTTTATTCTGTTTTTGTTTAGTGTCTCTTCACTGCCTCATTCCATTAACATTATCTCTGAAAAATTAATTTGCTTATCATAATATGAATTCTTCTTTTCAGCATCCAGTGTTGGATGAACCAATAGCAGAAGCTGTATGTATTATAGCAGATATGGATAAATGGACTGTTCAAGTGGCCAGTAGCCAGAGACGAATGACAGATAACAAATTGGGAAAGGAAGTATTGGTTTCCAGTCTTGTTTCCAACTTGCTTCATTCCACTCTTCAGCTTTATAAACATAACTTGTCTCCAAATTTTGTAAGTATGTGTAAGGCTTGAATTTACTTTGAGCACTCTGTTAGGTGTCTAGTATATGCCTACATTGAATACTATTGTTACCTTCATCATTGTTTTCCTGAAAGAAGGTGTTATAGATTGAATTTTTGTATTCCCCTAAAATCCATATGTTGAAGCCCTAAAACCAAGTGTGATGATATTTGGAGATGGGCCTTTCAGAAGTAAGTAGAATTAGATTAGGTCATGAGAGTGGGGCCCTCATGATGGGATTAGTGGCAGGAGAAGAAGAAGAGGAAGAGAGATTGCACTGTCTCCGCCATGTGAGGCACCACGAAAAGGCAGCCATCTGCCAGCCAGGAAGAGAAATCTCAGCAGAACCTGACTGTGTTGGCCCCCTGATCTCAGACTTTCAGCCTCCATAACTGTGAAGCAATAATTCTCTGCTGTTTAAGCCACTGCATCTATGGTATTTTGTTATGGCAGCCCATGCTGACTAAGACAGAAGGAGATGTGTACATGTCTATACAATGTATAATTTCAGCAGCCAGACTTTAGTGCCTGACCAGTATCGTGTAAAGTATGAACATGCAACATCCCCAAGCTTTGTGCAGAACGCCAGTACGTTTTAGACCCTCATTGTCACGTCAGGACTTTGAATGATCCCTCTTCGTAATACTGTTAACCTCTTACTGAAGACATCATCTACAACTTCCAAAGTCTTTCTTTTTCTTGTTAGGAGAAATGTAATATAGCATAGTTAAAAACTTCTGTAGGGGCTAGCCCGGTGGCGCAGCACTTAAGTTCACACATTCCGCTTCTCAGCAGCCTGGGGTTCGCTGGTTCAGATCCTGGGTGCGGACCTTGCCCCGCTTGGCAAAAGCTATGCTGTGGTAGGCGTCCCCCATATAAAGTAGAGGAAGAAGGGCATGGATGTTAGCTCAGGGCCAGTTTTCCTCAGCCAAAAGAGGAGGATTGGCAGTAGTTAGCTCAGGGCTAATCTTCCTCAAAAAAAAAAAAAACTTCTGTAGATCAACATGATAGAGGCCATATATGACAAACCCACAGCTAATATACTTTTATCACTTCTGTTCAACGTGCTACGGAAAGGTCCTAACCAGAGCAGTTAGACAAGAAAAAGAAACACAAGGCATCCAAATTAAAAAGGAAGAAGTCAAATTATCTCTGTTTGCAGATGACATGATCTTATATATAGAAAACTTAAAGATTCCAAAAGACTGATAAAGCTAATAAACAAATTCAGCGAAGTTGCAAGATACAAAATCGTGCAAAGATAGTTGCGTTTACATACACTAGCAATGAACATTCAGTTAAAAAAGCACTTATAATAGCATCAAAAGAATAAATTACTTAGGAATAACTTTAACCAAGGAAGCAAAAGGCTTATACACTGAAAACTATAAAACATACCTGAAAGAAGTTAAAGGAGACATAAATAAATGGAAAGACGTCTCAGAGAAGTTCATGGCTTGGAAGACTTAGTATTAAGATGACAGTACTACCCACAGTGTAGGATTCAATGCCATCCCTATCAGAAATCACCATGACTTATTTTCTTTTAAGAAATAGGCCCATCCCAAAATTTGTATGGCATCTCAAGGGACCCTGAAAAGCCAAAACAATCTTGAAAAAGGTGGACGACTCACATTTCCTGATTTCAAAACTTACTACAAAGTGACAGTAATCAAAATGGTGTGGTACTGGCATAAGGACAAACATGTAGACCAATAGTATATAAAAAAGAGCCCCAAAAGAAACCCTCACATATGTGGTCACTTGGTTTTTGACAAGGGAGGCAAGACCATTCAAAGGGGAAAGGAGTCTTTTTAACAAATCATGCTGAGAAAACTGGATATCCACATGCAAATATAAGTGTATACCTTATACTATATACAAAAATGAACTCGAACTTAAATCTAAACTTAAACACACCTGAACTTAAGTGCTAAAACTATAAAACTCTTTCAAGAAAATATATATATAGGAGATAATCTGCATGACTTTGGATTTGGCAGTTATTTCTTGGATTTGACACCAAAAAAAGCACAGGCAACAAAAGTAAAAATTAGATAATCAGACTTCATCAAATTAAAAACTTTTGTACATGAAAGGGCAGTATCAACAGAGTGAAAAGACAACCCACACGACGGGAGAAAATATTTGCAAATCATATATCTGTAAAAAGATTGATATCCAGAATATATAGAGAACTCAACAACAAACAACTAAAAAAATGGGCAAAAGACTTGAATACACATTTCTTTAAAGAAGACATAAAAATGGCCAATAAGCACATGAAAAGATGTTCAACATTATTAGTCATTAGGAGAATGCAAATCAAAACCACGATGAGAGACCACTTCAAACCCATAAGGATGGCTATGGTCAAAAACAGCAAAAATAAGTATTGGCCAGGATGTGGAGAAATTGGAACTCTTGTGCTTTGCAGGTGGGAATGTAAAATGGCACAGCTGCTTTGGAGAACAGTTTGGCAGTTCCTCAAAAAAGTTTAACAGTGTATTGTCATGTGATCCAAGAATTCTGCTTCTAGGTTTATTCTCAAAACAGTTGAAAGCAGGGACTCAAGCAAATGTGCCATCATGTTCATAGCAGCTTTATTGGCAATAAGGAGAAATTGGAAACAACTTGTTTCCATCAACAAATAAATAGATAAACAAAATGTGGTATAATACGTAGAATGGGATATTTCAGCCATAAAAAGGGATGAATTTCTAATACATGCTGCAACATGGATGAACCTTGAAAACATTATGTTAAGTGAAATAAGGAAAACACAAAAGGTTTTGTTTTTTCATACAGACAAATATGTATGAATACAAAATCATACATACAAATATTGTATGATTCCACTTATATGAGATGTCTAGAATAGGTAAATTCATAGAGACAGAAAGTAGATAGAAGTTCCTAGGGGCTCGGGGAAAGGAAGGAATGAGGAGTTATTGTATAATGGGTACAGAGTTTCTCTTTGAGATAATGAAAAGAAGTTCTTGAAATGGGTAGTGACAATGGTGGCACAACATTGTGAATGTACTTAATGCCACGGAATTGTATGTTTAAAAATGAGTAATATGGTAAATTTTTTATATCTCTCTCTCTCTATATATATATATTCTGTAAACATTTTCTTCTTCACTTAAGGCATTTTTCAGCCTAAGTGAGCATTATGGAAAAAACATACACCACAAAACAGTGAATGTGCCAAGAAATACATTCAGTTGTGTTTTTCCAAGAAGAAAATTGGTTTTTATTAGGAGCTTTAATAGCTGATTTTCATTGGAAAGGAATACTCTGCAAGAATTTAGTGTTTTAACACCTGAAACTCATGCTTTTTCCTCAAACATATACATATAGCATCAATTCACATGAAAAATCACATATTTTAGTAAATTGAGCAAGTTAGTTGACAGTAAACAAAATGTATTTGTTTTAGTTTTTAATGTTCCAGTTTAAAAACACCTCTCTCCTAGTAAAGACTACAGAGCATTCTCTGAGCTATTGCAAACTTTTTTTCTTTTACTCACCACGGGAGAATGCACCCTTTCCATGTAAGTACATTTGAAATGTATTGATTTGTAAGAATGTTAAATTTATCAAATTTGGAATAAAAACTATTTTTGAAGTTCTGGAAATGAATAGTGGCAATAGTTGCACAACATTTTGAATGTACTTAATACCTCTCAATTGTATGCTTAAAATTGGTTAAAATGGTAAATTTTATATTATATGTAATTTACCATGTTAAAAAAAAAACCCCAAAAGTCTATAGAATCTAAATCTTTGAGATGAACTAGAAAAAGTTTATACTTCTTTAGCTAGAAGGACATGCTTTAAAAATGTGCTCCAAATTTTAGTTGATGGAATAACTAAATAGAATTGTCAAACACATGATGCTTTGGAATTTGCCATTGCTTAGAGATGGAAACCATTTCCTGATTTGGTTTCTGGTTCCCTCCTGACTGCAGTGTGTGATGCATCTTGAAGACCGGTTACAGGAGCTGTACTTCAAGAGCAAAATGCTGTCTGAGTACCTGAGGGGGCAGATGCGTGTTCATGTCAAGGAGCTGGGAGTGGTTCTAGGGTATGTTCTTGGTTCCTTTTCTGGCTTTTCTGCCTCATTGTACTGTCTTTCAGCAAGGAATATTCCTCAGAATTGCCTTTTTTCCTTTTAAGTGTCTTTTCCTGTTAGAAATTGGACACTGTTATCAGTTTGGGTTGCCCTATACCGTATGAAAGCAGATCCCTGTCTTCCATGTCTGAAAGGCATTGTCCCTTGTGCCGTTACAGTAAGTTGAGAATATAGTCAGATAAGAATGAAAATCTAAATTTTTGTCCTAGAAAAATTAAGTAAATACTCATTTTTTTAAATTAAATATGTTGTAGACTCATTATTCCCAGCATCTGTGCTGCCATTCAAATGAGCTGATTGAAATGGGTGTTAGTACATCATCTCTATATTGTTACTCATTCCCCATTATGTATATATTATGTCTATCTACTCCACAATTATTCCTGGGAAGAAGACACTTAGCTAAAATGCTAACTGAAGGAGGAACAGGAAATTGGTGGGAGGCATTGTATAGCCCTTTTCATTATATTCTGTGGTCATTTTCCCTATGTTCTGTGGCTACTTTGTGTGTGTGTGTGTGTGTGAGAATTATTTCTTGGAATGATAGTTGAATAAATTAAAACAATCTGAATCTTTTGTCTAATTCAGCTTTTATGAAGGGAGAAAGAGCCAACATCAGTCAGTAGCTACTTTATGTCAGAAACCAAATTAAATTCTTACATAAGGAATAATGTTATTCCTTATCCTCCAGATTGGAAATAGTTAATGGATTGTTTCTTCTTATAGAATTTTGTAATGAATAACATAAAAAAATATAAATTGGCTTATACTCTATTTATAGTTGTGCAACTTGCCTTTTAATATATCTTGAGTGTTCATGTAAGTGTGTTCTCATCTATCTCATTTTTAATGGCTGTGTAGCATTCCATTATATGGTGGAATTTAGATTATTTTCAGTTTTTTTGTCTTACAAACTAATGCTAGAATGAATATAAATGTTTGAAGTTTGTAGAATAGATTCTTTGAAGTAGCATTTTTGGTTAAAGGGCATGTGTATTAAATTTTTGATAGATACTAATAGTTATTTTGATAGTTAATAGTAAATACTATCCAGAAAGTACCAGAATAAATTCTTATGAACAGCAGGAAGCACAGTCTTCCTGCTACTGGCTATTACCAAACTTTTTAATCTTTGCCAAGCTATTCGCTGAAAAGTGAAATCTGATTTTATTCAAATTTATTCTCTAACCATGAGTGAGTCTGCGTAACTTTTTCTGTGTTTATTGGCCATTTTTTCCCTACAAATTATTTGTGGTGGGATGTATTTTTAAGAAGCTTTTATTACTTAGCTGATTATAGAAACATTTGCATTCCAAACAATATGGGTATACACTATTATTCTATTATTATACATATTATATTTCTTAGACATTTGCCCATTGCCCTGATGCATGGTCCATCAGCAGGTCAGTGAGATGCTTTCTTATATCCATGGCTTTGTTACAGTTGGGTTTCAGAGGCTTTCTTTTTTAAAAAATCTATGGTTTTGGTTTTTACTTAATGAAAAATTTCTAAGTTTTGTTATTCCTTTTGGCCAGGGTGGCCTAGGTCCTTGACTGATAAGGTCTGGTGACTGTACAGGTAGCAGTCCTTGCCTGTAGGACCTGTCCTAGGTATAGACAGCCTAAACTGAGTTTTTTTTTCTCCTTATTTCAGGATTGAATCCAGTGATCTTCCTCTTCTGGCTGCTGTAGCAAGCACTCACTCTCCATATGTTGCTCAGATACTCCTTTAAGCTAAAGGTTGTTAGAAATTAACTTCGGTGGAAAGTTAAGTAGAAACCAAGGAAGCAGACACAACATTCATTTATGACAGTTTTTTTCCCTGTTAGACTTCCATCTGAATGAGTCAGTCACCTGAGTATACTGCATTGCAGTGCATATTATATGATCAGTGGATGACTTTTTCCTTTGGACTGGACTTTTGGGTGGTGGTAGATTTTTAACCAAGTGAAACTAAAACAGCATAAATAATTCAGTGGGGGAAAGCATTTGAAAAGGCCAAAGTATAACTTACAAACTTCTACAAAATGAATAACATTGAAGAATTTCATATGATCTGTATGATGTTGCCACAACCCATAAGTAGCAACAGATGTCTCAAGAAATAGTCATTTCATTAGTTTTAATCCTTTATTTCTAAGGTACAGAGATCTATAAAACCTCAATTATTTGTTGTTTTGTTTTTCAATTCAAAATAGCTAATTTCTGGGTATTTCTCAAAGTATTTTAAATAGCCTGTTAATTATAATAAACTCAGAATAATAAGTATAAATGTATGTTATGTTATCCACCCAAGTGTACATATGTATCTATTTTTTTTAAAAAAGCAGAGGTAGGAATACAAGATTGGTAAACATGCCTTTTAAAAAAATATTTTCAACTAGTATTAATTGTATATAATGTTGAAATGTTACTTTCTGGTGATTTTTCTGCTTCACACACCCTAAAATAGAAGTAAAGCCAATCTTTTTTAAGGCTGAGGAATGTGGATTCCCAAAATAAGAATACTACTTTATACCATTTGTTTGTTTATAAATATAAGCTAATTCTTATAAATGTTAATATTTACTTATTTGCATCTAATTTAATAAATGAAAATTAGGATTAAAAATTACACCAAAGCATTGGCAAAAATAATACTATTTTCTTCAAACATGCTCAGGTAGCTGAGGCCCTTGCTTTCGGTATCAGCCCTTCTTGACCCATAGGAACTGAATATTTGTTTCACTGCTTCATAATATTCAATGTACACTAATAGAACTCATTAACTCTTAAAATTATTCTCTTTTCTCTAATAGTCCCTCCTTTCCAAAAGCTAATTTTTTTCAAAGATTTCCACTTTTCAGTTATTATTGTTTTTGTATATACTGTAGAGTGTTGCTTGTGAGAGGCTAATATGGAACCAAACTCTTGTAAGTAATGTAAATAGAAAGACCGGGTAGATGAAGTTTTCAACATACTCTACTACCTCAGTTTACTTGAATACTACATTATAGTTTGTTCTTTACTTTTCTGATCTAAAATACTTTTAATGCTAGAAGTGAAGTTGGTTTCTGCTTTCATGGACTGTTTGCATCATAATTAATTGATCAGCTTTTAAAAAAGAAAATCACTTGCTTATTCTGTTACTAAATACATTTATTGTATGATACATCTATTCTTGCTGTTTAAACTTTTAGTAATTAGGGAAGATTTCTGTGGTTTGTTTAGTCTTTGACCTTGAATTTATGGCATTGGGTCACATTTTACCTTGCTCTTTATGTAGTCAAGAAATCTCCAACTAGACAAAGAAGAAATGGTTGTTTTACTGGAATGTCAACCTGAAATTGGTGTGCCTGCAATCAGTTTGGCCCCCGTGTTCTGTCAGCTGGTCCCAGTTAGTACATGAGTCTCCTGTGGATGACTTGCTGCCAAAGACTGTTTATGGATATATTTTCTTTGGCTTAATTTTCTTATTCCATTCATTAACAGAATTCTTCTCTCTTTTATTATTGTTTGGAATTCTGTGAATCAATGTCTTTGGCAAAATTCAGAATATAGAAAAGTTCATATGTAGGCCAGTGTACATTATTTTTCGATTGTAGTTTAGAATGATATGTAGCAGGTAGGTAATGTCTGTTTTTGCGTGTTTTCTCTTTTGAATTATCAAACTCTTCACAGTCCTATCTATTTGAAATCTCTAATAAATTATCATTTAGGAAATCTACAATAAATTGAGGCTCATGCTACTGTTATTCTTAAAATTAAGCTTTGCTCCGAAGGAAAAGGCCTATAGTTTCTTATAGAATCCTTAATCCTTATAGGATTACTGAGTTTTTTAATTCCCAAACTTCTGTAATTTCTACTGCGTTCATCATAGTTATTCTTTCCTTACACAAAGCCCAAGGAATGAGCTGCTGCTGCTTTAAAGTGTGGTCATTATGATGAATGTGAAAAGAGTTTCTGGCCTGTTCGAAATAATGTTCTTCAACTTTTTATGGTACAGACACATATGTGTTACAAATGAAAAACACCTGTTTGTTGCAACAGGAAATGAAAAAGGGATGTTTTACATTGTAGATTTAAAACTAATTTTTCCTTGTATATAAACTAATTGGTTTGATTTAAAATAGTCCTGGCTTTTATTAATATGTCTTAATTTTGAGTTTGAAAATGTTAAGTGCAATAAACATACTAGCACAGATTTCATTATGTTGCATTTGGCGTACACTGGGGATGATCACTTTAAAAACGACAGATTTTACACATTGCCTACTTCTGGTAGATGTCTTTATGAGATTGTTCTGCTTTCTCTAAGTTATTAGATGGTGGGATATGTAAAATGTACATACTTGTTCCTGTCTGTATACATTTCTCAAATGTACACCTGTATTATAATAACCTCCCAATTCTAGGGGAAATTTGTGCAATAAATACACATGTCAATTTGATGGATGATGTTGGTCTTTCTTTCATGTGTTAATAAGGTATATATAATATCACGGACTCTGGTGTCAGCCCACCTGGATTCTTTTCCCAAGTGTGATGCTTCTAGGCATGTGACCCTGTTCATAATGTCCTTCTCCAGTCCTAATTTTCTGTATTGGTAATTTAGTAGAATCTACTTTATAAGGTGTTTGTGAGAATCAAGTGAAACAATGAATGTCAAGAATTTATCTCAATGTATGGCACCTCCCAAGTGCTCAATAATTTTTGGCTGCTACTGTTACTAGGTAAATAATCTGGCCCGTCTCCCCTCTATGACCCCTGCGTATTGTGGGGAAAATTTAACATACATTCTTATGAATGAAAATGTAGTAAAAAAGAAAATATTGGTATATGCTTACATTTGACCTAATCCTCATGATAACAAATGGAAAATTTCTTTAAATGCTTTTATGAAAACAAACTGAAAATCATTTAAAACCTAGAAGAAGCCATGTAAACCTGTTAAGAACATTGTATCCAATACAAATTACTATTAACTTTACAATTAAACAAAAAATTGGCCAGTTGGTTTAGGTTCTAATCCTGGGTTCACTGATTTGCATGTGATTCTGAGCAAGTCTGTCTTTTTCCTCCTTAGTGCCTGCTCTGCAGTAGTGATTCAGCCTTGAGTACTGAAGGCTGATTGGGAAGCTGCCTTACTCAAGCTACGTTGTTTTGGACAGAGTTATGCCAGGAAGCAAGATTAGACTATTGGGTTTTTGTAGTACTTGTTTTCATATCATTTTACATGTATCACTTTTACATTTGACCAAAGAGAATAAGTGCACTGTTCTGTTTTTTTATTTTTTATTGTTTTTGGTGAGGAAGATTGGCCCTGAGCTCACATCTGTTGCCAGTCTTCCTCTTTTGTCTTTCCTTCCCAAATCCCCAGTTCATAGTTGTATATCCTAGTTGTTGGTCACTCTAGTTCTTCTATGTGGGATGCTGCCTCAGCATGGCTTGATGAGTGGTGTGTAGGTGTGCAGTCAGTATCTGAACCAGAAAACCCCGGGATGCTGAAGCAGAGCATGCGAACTTAACCACTCAGCCATGGGGCCAGCCCCAAGTGCACTGTTTTAAAGCAGAGAGGAAGGATCAAGTATTTAGGAAGCATCCGTCAGATATTTTAGAGGTTTTTAATTGGTGCCTGTGTTTATAGGTGCTGTTCCCTCATATAAATTTAAGAAATCTTGCAACATTTCTGAGATGCATAGAGGAATGATTTTACTAATGAGAAACTGAGATACAGAGAATTTAATGAGGTCAAAGTCTCCTATGTAGGTCTATTTTTTTCTCTCAGACCAGAATGGTTTCCAACTAGTATGTAGTGACAAATTTAAAGATTTCTGGGATTTCTTCACTTGTCTTTGCCAATGTAGAAGGGTAGGGGTGGGATGGCCAAGTGGGACGAAACCTGAGCTGAAGGTGCAGTGGGAGTTGGGGGATTGTAACTGAGTGGAAAGGATTTAGGCAGACAGAAAAGGGGGAGGTCACAGAATGTATAGTGCTTACTGTCCTTGCTTTGTAGTGCAGCCTGGGGACTTGAACATGTTTACTCTAGACTTAAGATTTGATTTCTGGATTTAAGATTTTCCCTAGAGAAAAGAAAATACAAGCAGTTCAAAAGAGATTTTTAAAGAATATGTGAAATTCCCACCTACCGTTTTTCAGGAGAACTTCAGTGGGACTTTTGATCTTAAAGCATATTCTCAGGTCAGAAGGTCCCATCCCCCCCTCTACCCCACCACCACCAGGAGACTTGGTCCCTTATAACATTTCTTTTAAAAGGGACTCTCTGTCTGGTGAAAGTACAAATCTAGACCAATCCCTTCATCAGATTGAAGACAGTTCTCTGTCTGGGTTAACACTGTCTGATTAGACCTCCCAGAGATAAACCTGTGTTTACTCTAAGGAGAGTATTAGGTTGAAGAGGCTTGAGCTTCCGTTCTTTCCAAGTGACTATTTTAACAAGGACAGTCCAAAAATATGTCTTTATATTCACCTTGGTGCTCAAATTAAGATTATTGATAAATGCAGTGTTACCTAAATTGTCCCAAGGGAACAACATTGTTGAAATGTTGTGTAAGTATAAGGGAAATATTGTTCTTTCCTCAAGAAACTTATGATGCCACTTGTCACACATTTGTCCAGCACTCACAAGTCAGTATCCTTCACTATGTTACAGGGGCTGGAAATAAGATGGCTCAGACTAGTCCAGAACCTGAATTAGTTTAGTTTTCAAACCTGGTTGCATGTTAGAAACGCTTAGGTAGCTTTTGGAAAATATTAATTCCTAGATGTCTGATTCAGTGATAGTGACTGACCTTCTGGATTTGGGCCAGAAAATGCTCTTATTTTTCCACTAGTAGAGACCTAATCTCCTAGCATACTCCAGATCTCAATTCCTTACTTCATTCCAGTGCTATTAAAACCAGTGCTCTGGGGCCGGCCCCATGGCCAAGTGGTTGAGTTTGCGTGCTTTGCTTCGGCGGCCCAGGATTTTGCCAGTTCGAATCCTGGTCTCAGACATGGCACTGCCCACCAGGTCGTGTTGAGGCGGCATCCCACATGCCACAACTAGAAGGACCCACAACTGAAAATACACAGCTATGTACTGGAGGGCTTTGGGAGAAAAAGGAAAAATAAAATCTTTAAAAAAGAAACAAAACCCAGTGCTCTGTACCCTCATGTTCTTGTTGGTTTGCTGTTATCCTGGAAAGATGGCCATATGATTGATTGTCTGCCTACTGAGCATTCAGTTTTGCATAATACAATGGTTGCCTAGCCAGACATCTTTCTTCGCCATTGAAGAGCAATCACAAGTGCCTATCTTTTTAAACAGCAAAATCTCCTCTTAATTACTTAGTTCTTAGATAGTTTCATGTGTTCAGTCAGCAAATACTGAGAACCTGTTATGTGCTAGGCACAGTCTGGGTGCCAGGGATATACCAGTAAATAACAAACTTTGTTCTCTGTTCTTATGGAGTTTTACATATTTCCCACTGGAGGAGAAGATACACAAAAATAATATGCTGTCAGGTTGTGGTAAGTATAATGAAGAAAAATAAGGTAGGGTAAGGAATTAAGCCACTTTTTCTTTAAGGTTTAAGCACATTTATTTTCCTAGAATTTAATAAATTACTTGCATTCAAAGCCATTATTTTTTCCTTTCAGATACAAGCTAATGCTGGTGACTCCTATCCTGGAGGTTGCCTTTTCTCTGAAATTAGCTATTAGATCTTTGACAGTCTCCTCACTTTTTTCAGCATACCAGAGCATAGTACAAGATGGTAAAGGACATTATAGATTTTGAAAATGTGCTTAAATTTAGATATGTATAGTTACCGTGGCTATTAACATACTGTTTTAACTATTGTTGTCTTATGATGAAGCCTAATAGTTATTTTTTATACTTAATTCATTTTTCCTTGTTTAATATTATATACAGAAAAGTAAATAAATATTCAGTAATGTACCTGTCACTTAGGTCAAGAAATAAATCATTTTCAGCAACCTAGAAGCTCCCCTTCTCCATGTGCCCTATTGTGATCATAATCCTCTCCCTTCTCGTTTTTGTAACTACCAACCTGACTTTTGTGAACATCATTTCCTTGTCTTATGTTTATAGTTTTACCTCTATTTATGCATCCCTAAGTGATATACTTTAATTTTGCTTGTGTGTGAACTTTAATTATACTCCATATTTTGTATTTTGCCTTTTTTCTCTCAACATTATCTTGGAGATTCATCCATGTGCTCTGTAGCTGGTATTCCACTGAATGAACATAATTTAACCATTCTATTATTGATGGACATTTGGGTTATTTCCACTTTTTGGCTAATATGAACACTGAACATTTTTGTTCATCTTTTCTGGTGTACTTGGGTATTCTTTAGGACGTATATCAAGAACTGGACTTGCTGAGACAACGGTATGTTAAGTTTCAGCTTTACCAGATACTTTTTTTCAAAATGGTTTCCCAATTTACACTTAACCAGCAGTTTGTGAGAGTTCCTGTTGCTCCACATCTTCCTGAATACTTAAATGTTTCTGAATAGTTACTGATGAAAAAATTTTGGCATTAAAAAAAAAACCTATCCAATTCTTCAAGCTTGAATTTTTGCTTTTGAAAAATCACTTCCCAGAGGTAAAGCAATAAAAATAAGAAAGAGTGCTTGCATTGTGCAGGCAACATCCTTAAGTGCTTTACCTGAATTATCTCATGTAATGCTAAGAGAATCTCAGAGCAATAGGTACTTTACTACTCCTATTTTACAGATAAGGAAACTGAAGTTCAGCAATATTAAATAACTTCTCCAAGTCATTTAACTAGACATGGCCTATTAAAGACACAAATTCAGGTGTTTGCCCCTAAAGTTCAAGCTCATGGTCATCATGCTTTAATTCCTTTTCCCTCTTTCAATATATTGATATAGCTCTGGAAACTGATCCTTAAAGAACGGAAGGGATAACCTTTGTGATCTTAGGCAGACCTTTCAGAGAATATGTTTATACACACACAAAATGACAAAAGTGAATCATGCAATTCTTTGTAATCTCTCAATCACTTTCTTTCTAGAGTGGCTGAGCCATAACCTCCCTGGTAAGGTTTTTGTCCTATACTCAAAAAAGAAATGTGCCAATGTTATGTTGCAAACTTCAAGTTTGGGCAAGCCCAACGGCCAACGGAAAACAAAACGATTAACATCAGCCATCACTACCAGGTCCCAGAAACGGTAAATGTTGATCTCTTCTTTCTCTTTTGTTACTCTAAAATATAATTTTAATCTTACGTCATTAAAAAATTACTGTGAATAACGTCATAATCATACATGACTTTGAATCATCAGTGACCTATGCTAATTGCTTTGAGAAATCCTAAGATGTACCTAGATGTGGTACACTGCCTTCAGGGAGCTTAAAATTCAGTGGAAAGGACATGCCTATGGTGGCTCCAAAGTAAGGC